AGAGGAGGGGCAGCTCCTCCCTCAGCTCCCTGTTCAGATCCTCAAACACCGCCTGGGCTTTGTTAAACTCCTCCTCGGCCTTTCCGGAGGGGACAGGATGGGATGAGGGGGGTCCCATCCTGTCCCCCCATTCCAAGTGGGGGGTAATTGGTGAGGGCGTCCCCAAACCTTGGCGATTTTGGCCTCGTCCCTTTTCCTGGCTCCCTGCAGCGCTTCCAGGTGGTGCCGGGCGCTGTCGTAGTCCACCAATTTACGGCCCCTCTTGGCGATTCGCTCCTGGAAGTGGGGGGGGACACACACACAGGGGTGAGTCAGGACCACCACCCCACCCACCCGTGTCCCCAAACCCCCCCCACCCTTCCTGCCCACCTTGAAGTCCCCGAACTGCGCCAGGTAATTCTCCATCAGCCGCAGGGCTTGGTCCGACAGTTTGGCCTCGTAGTCGTCCCACAGGAGGTCGTTGCTCTGGGGGAGGTGGGTGACAAAATTAAGGGGGTGAGACCCCCAAATCACCCCAAAATGTCACCCCAGGGTGGGGGGACCCTCGTGGGGGGCTCACGGCGGCGATGGCGCGCAGCTCCTCGTGTCCGTCCCACGCGGGGCTGTAAATGTCCTGCAGGGTCTCGGCCACGCGCCGCGAGCTCTCGTGCATCGCTGCGGGCACGGGGGCCATTAACGGCTCGTTAATTGCTCGCTCTTAATTAATTTGTTCGGGCGCTTGCTGAGGTGGTTTGTCATTATTTGTCAGCCCCGCCCCGGGGGGTGCGATTTTTGAGTATTTGTTGCCTATTTATTATCCCATCGATAGTATTTATATTTATTTATTTATGACCTATTTATTATCCCATCGATAGAATTTATTTATTTATTTACTTATTATTTATATTTATTATCCCATCGATAGTATCTAGATTTATTTATTTGTTTATATATAGCTTATAAGGCATAATAATAGGTATTAAATGTTTTTATAGGATAATTATATGTTTATATGTTATATGTATATCATTATTTATTATTATTATTATATGTTTTGTATATATTACATATATAATGTAATTATATGTCATTATATGTATAGTTATATGCATAATAAAATATATAATAATATATAATTATATATGATATATAATTCTTAATTATATATAATTATATGTGATACAGTTATTATGTATATTATCTATGATATATGTTATATATAATATTACATATTATATTTTATAATATAATATGTAATATATAATATAATATAAAAATATAATATACACAAATGTTATATATATTATATTTTAAATAATATAAAAAATATAAAATATATAATTATATAAGATATATACATAAAATTACATATGTTATGTATTTATACACCAGTTATAAATTATAAAGCTAAAAACGTGTATTAGAAATGATACCTAAAATGAATAATAAACATATTTACATTTTATTGATCTTTATATTTAATTTATAATAAATTATAAATTAAAAACATGTGTACTATATATAGGGATTGATAGATATTAAACAGCTAATAAATAAATGGTAATTATCAATTAATTCATTCATAACCCCATAGATGATATATATCCCATCAACCCCAGGTTTATATCCATTAAATAATAGATAGAACATTCCAGAACATTCCAGAACATTCCCGA